AACACGCGTCGAAAATGTTTTTAAATAATCCCATCCTCGTCGCCAGTTGTTGTGTATTACAAATGAAAGTCGGAATTCCAAAGCAGACTGATTTATTTTTGCAACTACCTGCCCTTTTATAATGTGACTTAATATCTATACATAACACAAACCGAAACGCATTTTGGGAGGCTTAAACGACGGAGGAAAAGATCTTCCACCGAGCGGGTGATATTTGCTCGGTAGACCGACGGTCCGAATGTTATTGTTCGGAACTTGTATATATGCGCTTTATCTTGAAAATGTCGTAAGCGAGATTCAGGCATCTGTCAATTATCTTGCGTTGTATGATGGCTACCCGCCACATCACTCCCCTCCGAGACTGAAGGTCGTGTCATTTTTTTTTAATTAGCGTTGTCCGTGCTGAGATTAGCTTGCAAGGGCCAGTGCTGCTCGAAGTTTGCGGTGAGTCGAAACTGAGCTTGAATGCTGCGTGATTGTCGCCAGTGCTGCTCGAAGTCTGCGGTGAGTCGAGACTGAGCTTGAATGCTGCGTGCGTGTCGCCAGTACTGCTCGAAATCTGCGGTGAGTCGAGACTGAGCTTGAATGCTGCGTGCGTGTCGCCAGTACTGCTCGAAATCTGCGGTGAGTCGAGACTGAGCTTGAATGCTGCGTGCGTGTCGCCAGTAGTTCATGTGTGCAGAGCTGCCACGCCGGAGATGTGTGACCCCAAGCGTTGATGATCCGGTCGTGGGCTGCGATGAACTGTTGCGGCGTGATGAGGCAGTGAAGTTGCGTGCCGTAGGACCAGGAAGCGCGGTGAGTCGGCTGCGATGGTCCTGTTGAGGCTGCGATGCTGGCTTGCTGTGGGACGACTGTCGATCACTTGCTTTTTATCTGCGAGAATGCGGGGATTGTGGTAGCCGAAGTTTTTGATGCGCTGATGATGAATCAGAAGGTTGCGTGTTCACATCTTGTCGCAGGTCACCAGTTTGGGGCTTACGACAAAGGGAAGATCTTCCACCGAGCGGATGATATTGCTCGGTAGACCGACGGTCCGAATGTTGTTGTTCGGAACTTGTATATATGCGCTTTATCTTGAAAATGTCGTAAGCGAGATTCAGGCATCTGTCAATTATCTTGCGTTGTATGATGGCTACCCGCCACACGCATTACTGCTTCACGGCAGAAACAAGCGGGGTGGTGGTACCTACCCGTGCGGACTCACAAGAGGTCCTACCACCAGTAATGAAAGTACAAGCGATAGATACTACTACTATATTGAGGCTCAGGATAGTTGGTCTCTGAATGCCTCAAGGTGAGTGGGAAGATTCATGTTGTGATGTCTATGTATTTATTGCATAGACGAGTTAAAGATCTCGATTCATCTGTTATTGAATATTGACCAGCAACCATTGCCTTCAGAATGCATGTGCCGCTACCCGCCTTGCGAGCTGAGATCTACATGTTTGTGGTATGATACCAAACCCTTTATATGTGAAGGCGTGATAGCTTCACAGCAGAACCCACCACCGGATTTCAGTATCTCCAAAAGTTATAGTAATATGACCGACGACATTTTTTCTTTCCTGCCAATGCTGGTAGCTTTTATTTATTTATTTTTTATTGCATAGATGGGTGGACGAGCTCACTGCGCACCTGTGACACCAATTACGCAAATTATAATTTTGCGGGTTTGTTTTTTATTACACGATGTTATTCCTTCACAGTGGAAGTCAATCGAGAGCATTTGCTGAGTACGTATTTCATTAGAAAAATTGGTACCGGCCTGGGATTCGAACACCGGCGCATCGCTCAACACGAATGCACCGGACGTCTTATCCTTTAGGCCACGACGACATCTTTGACCTGACCTGTTTAACCGGGCGAATAGGTGAGGCTCTAACCGGAGAACTAGTTGCCAACACTAGCCCTAACAAGAGCTTCGCAAAATCTACCACCGGATCGAAAACGCGACCCACTGAGAAGATCAGCAAAACGAAAAAAAATACTTGATGTGCGTTCTCTGAATAATTCTAATCTATGTCCAAGATTGTCGTGTCAAGAGCGATTGCTATTTCAAGCGACATTCGTTGCGACACTAACGGTATTGTGTTTATTTTGTTTATTAGAGATAATTCGCTATGTTGAAAGCGAAACTGCCCGCGGTAAAACTAATTCGATCGTGTACTTTGGTTTTATAATGACGTATTTCGTTTCGGTTTAAAAGATGGGACAGCCATTGGTACATTTGGTACCGTACAATTAAGATTAAGACCTCACCTCTCAGTATGAGGTAATTCACTCTTATGATGTCTAACGGCTCTAGTAACCATTTAATACCAGATGATCCCCGAGTCATATATCCATCTAGTGAAATAAAAGACATATTTTATGTTAAACGCGAAATTCTGGAATTGTAATATAAGATTTTATTGCAATTATATTTGTTGATATATTGGATTAAGACAAATAATACTGTTTATCACGGTAAATGACATGACCAGGGCAATGCCGGGTATATCCGCTTTAATAAATACGACAATGTGTTCGCTTGTTCGTCATTATTACTGGTGGTAGGACGTATTGTGAATCCGCACCGTTAGGTACCACCGCCCTGCCTATTTCTGCCGTGAAGCAGTAATGCGTTACGGTTTGAAGGGTGGGATAGCCGTTGTAACTATACTTGAGACCTTAGAACTTATCTCAAGGTGGGTGGCGCATTTACACCAGGTGAGCTCGTCTACGTACCTAAGTAATAAAAAAAAGAGTAGGTAGGTTTAAAAAACAAAGCCGCAAAAATAGGCAGGTACGTTGCTCATGATCCCTACCTACCAGTTACTTTATCAAACAAGCCCGCTTACGGTGACGTCGTTTAATAAAATGTTTAATAACAAAATACAACGGAACTCTGCCAGATTGCATTTTTACAACTCCATCAAATTACCTCGCGCAGAGTGGCGAGAGCCCGAACGGTCATAAAGAAACGGACGAGATATAAAGCTTAGCTTATTTAGAGAACGTTTTTACTGACTAGCTCTAAGCCCAAGTCTGGTCCTGCCGCGGTACAAGTTTATATTTGCTCTGACCACCATACGTCCGCCTTCATGCAGAATGCAAGGTCATCTCGTCGACTTCGAGTTATTTAATTCTATTCAATCGGCCCACTTTTTTTTCCTTTCTATTCTAGTAACCTAAAGGGGTTATTCTAGATTCACCGAGCCAGTAGGTGAGCTCACGGGCTCAAACCGGGAGTGTTGCTAGCACTGGCCCTAGCAAGAGCAGTTCTTCGCAGAATCTACCGCCGGATCGGAAACGCGACCCACTGAGAAGATCCGGCGAGAAACTCAATGGGTTGTGTCTATGGGTTAATTTACACGGCGAGCCCTTTGTCGCAAGCGACGGGTTCGGCGAGGACGGTGACCGGTGCTTGAGATTCAGCCCACAGACGTCCAGTACCGGACATATGCCTCCCCCAAGCCTCACCACAAAGATCGATCCTGTGCTGCTAGCAACCAGCGGAGCCCTCCGCGAACCTCAATAGGTGGTCGGTTCATCTTGTGGGAGGCCTACTCACGCTACGTCTTTCAGTACGTGGTCGCCACTTAAGAACCTTTCTTCCCAACGGCTATCCGTTCTACGAGCAATATGCCTTGCCCACTGCCTTATTATCTAAATTTTAACAAAAATTCGCAGCCATTTTGAAAAGTGTCACGTTTTATTTCGATATCCCGATATTACGGATTTACATTATAAATATATTTGTATGTCTGTTGAATGCGCAATTTAGATATCCGAAATACCTGTAATTTATGTTTATGTATGAATGAATGTATTATTGAAGTGAAAACTTCTTTAGAATCGTTGTGATTTCAAACCGGATGCAACGGAAAAAACGACAGGTAAGAGACACAAATACAAAAATGTGTAGGATGAAGCCAGCAAAGAATGAGACAGAAATATACATACTATTTAATACAGCGCCATCTGTGAGATTTTTTAATACTAACGTGTGTATGAAAGCTCTTGTAGTGAATTTTAATTTAGGATTATACGTGAAATTAAAATATCAATTCACAGAGGGCGCTACCTTACAATTATTTACTAATGACAAAATTTTACATATACTTAAGACGTTTAGGATAATTGTATTTTAATTTTGGAAGGTTTCACTTCTACCACGTGTGAATTGCACACATGTATTTTTTTTTTTAAATAATAAGTTTTGATGTAACATGTAACTTTAAATATAAAGCCAAAGAATAGCAGTAATATGTATTTTGCTTACTACAGTATTATATGAACAGCTTGGGGATTTGTCACTTATCGTAGAAACAATTCATAGTGACGTAAAACATTATCTTAAATTAACTCTCCTAGCAAATACTAAGCCAGGCAAGTGAGATATGCTAGAAAATGGATAAATACCTGCATTTTGTGAACAAAGGGCTTATTGTACAAGATCTAAATCACGTAAAATACTTAATTAAGTACTTTACGTGATTGTTTATTTTTTATTTGTATTTTATTTTCATATCGTTAATTTTACGTTTTATCACGTCATTAAAGTTAACAGTAAAACTTTGCAGTGAACGAACTGGACGACCGCTCACCTTCATCACCTTGGCTTTTCTCGGAACTTTGACTCCGAGTGATGTCACGACGCGCTAACAGGATTAGATATTCCATACAAGCATTGTAACTTGTAGGTACGTTGAATAATGGTTATATAATTTATGTGGAAGTTTTTCATCGAATGAAACAAGATGACTTTGATATTTTTTTTAAATATTAATTTAGATAGACGGCAGTGTGAAGTAGGAATGCGTTTGAAGGGTGGGGCAGTTGTTGTAACTATACTGAGACCTTAGAACTTATATCTCAAGTTGGGTGGCGCATTTACGTTGTAGATGTCTATGGGCTTAGTAACCACTAAACACCAGGTGGGCTGTGAGCTCGTCCACCCGTCTAAGCAATAAAAAAATAGCTAATTTAAAACAAAATTAGATGATTAATCATACCTGCTACGGGAGACAGCTTCCGCATGACACACCATCGCGATTTCCACTGGAAACAAAAATTGCTGTTTAGTATTTCCTTTATTCACTAACGTTACAAAGGGAAAGGTTCCGTTATTATCGGAAGAGATCGTCAATACCAGAACCCACCTTGAGACATGAGGTCAGAGAGAATGATATTGTATTGTAAAATAGTTGTCTCGTCTTTCAAACCGAAGATCCTTAGATCTTAGATCATTACACTATTATCTCAAGGTAGGTGACGGCATTTACGTTATAGATGTCTATGGGCTCCGGTAACTACTTCACATCAGGTGGGCCGTAAGCTTGTCTACTCATCTAAGCAATAAGCAAAAATAAAACTTGGCAGCATAAATAGTGGTAGCACATACTCGTGCTTTCAATGCGACCTGCTTCCCAGAATGAAGCCGTGAGGAGTGAATTATACGTTTTAAAAATTAATAAATAATAGTTTAAGGGAACTAACAAAATACACTTTTATAGAAAATCCAACTAAAAAAATAAAAATAAAAATTTGAATTAAAAACAGTGTAAGAAAAAAATTTTTATTGTAAAAAAAGCGTGGGGTGCTTTTCAGGATATTATCAAAATAACCCTTCTACTCATATATGAGTCGACTATTATCAAAGCCGGCAATCTGACTTTTGGACAATTATTGGTAAATCAGAAAAACGAATTATTGACTTTGTATTCCATTGGCAGTCACAAAACTCTTCGGAACGACATCTTAGATAAATAACAGGTTAACTATTAACCTTAATTTAATGCAGGTTTTGAACCGTATTCTTTGAAGGAGACGATTATATTCAAATCAATCTGTATTGACATATCAATAATTTTTTTTGGACCAAATGCACAGATTGCCACCTTTGATAATAGACGACTCATATGTTCATAAAATATTACACTATCACTCTTACACAATTTTTTATTCAAATTTATTTTCTATTTTTTAGTTGGATTTTCTATAAAAGCATATTGTGTTAGTTTTTTCAAACTATTATTTATTTTTAATTTTTTAGTTGAATTACAATACTTTTATAATTTTTTATAATATTGAATTGTCATCGGTCCTTAATAAGTATACCAAATTTCTAGTTAATGTTCAAAGATTCCGTTACATTCATACGTATGAAGCTAATAAAAGCGTATTAAAAATCATGTTGTGTAACTAAATAGACTTAATTCTTTATAACCAGTTAGCTATTTCAAAACGTACGTACTTGTATTACGTAAAAAATACGATAAATGCATGTATTATTTCAATGTCATTTGCGACGCTTCAAAACGTTGCCAACTCGCCGGCGATAAAACACGGCAAGCGAGAGGTCGACATGTTGCGCCACTGTTGCCGTCCCGTTTCGTCGCCGCAGCCGTGTAGGTTGACCGTGAATTTTATTGTGTGTATTTATACAAAACAAAACATGACGCGCAATAGTAATATTAATGTTGAATCAATTATCCTGAATAAGATAGCTTCTCCTGACTTAAAAAAACAAAAAAAGTTGATGAATAAAATAAAGTTTTCGTGCGAATAGTAACCGTTAAATGAGTCGTCTATTATCAAAGGTGGCAATCTGTGCATTTGGACAAAAAAATGTTATTGATATGTCAATACAGATTGATTTGAATATAATCATCTCCTTCAAAGAATACGATTCAAAACCTGCATTAAATAAAGGTTAATAGTTAACCTGTTATTTATCTAAGATGTCGTTCCGAAGAGTTTTGTGACTGCCAATGGAATACAAAGTCAATAATTCGTTTTTCTGATTTACCAATAATTGTCCAAAAGTCAGATTGCCGGCTTTGATAATAGTCGACTCAAATATTCCCTTAAGACCCATTAAAATCTAAGTGATGAGTTTGGGAACCCTTTTATCAGATTATCGTAACCTAGATCGACTGGTCGACACAGAAAATGCTTGAACATCTATAAATTATCTATAACATTTTTCAGCGCGATAAATTTTTAAACTAAAACAAAGATATGTAATTACATTGAAAAGCTATTGCTGGATGTTTTTTTTCAATTTAATACCCGACAATATTTTGGTCACCCCATTCGAACCACAAAAACGGTCGCGTCTACAACGAATTGCGCCATACTCGCGCGACGGCAGACTCCGCCATCTTTAGTCGGCCGACACGCGCTACGAACAACGCACGTACAATAACCGACTTTTGTCGTCGATACCATGAGAATAACAGATGTAAAATCGGAAAAACTCATAGAGGCCGTTAAGAAGAGACCGGCGTTGTATAACAAAAGTGACACTATGTATTACTGTCAGAAAAAGAACAAAATCAAATTGTGGATCGAAGTCTGCCAAGAAGTGTTCAGTAATTGGGAGCAAATGTCGGCACACGAAAAAGTTGAACTACGTATGTGATCTTGATCGTGAAATCATTTAGTAATTACTAAGTAGTTGAAGCCCGACGGCACGATACTAAACTAAATAATGATGGGTAGTGTAATTTGTAAATTTACCTCTAGTGTTTACTTCGTTGAAATCAGAGGTTGCAAGCAACTCCTTCAAGATTTGGGTGGAATATGGCAATGTTTTTAGTTGTTGAGCTATGCGACCAAAATTATGTGTTCAGTATTTCGGTTATGCAACCAGTCTATCCAACCAATATCTATGTCAAAATTAAGTTAGGTTGATTCATGTTCATGACCAATAATTTTATTATGAACGCACATTCGGGGCGACTTTGTCTTTGTTGCATAAAAGTTGATGAAGAGAAAAACTGAAAAATATGAAACTTTTGTATATTTGACTTATTGATGACATAGAAATCGTGTATTGAATCTTGTTAGTTAGATTTTGGATTCAATATAAATAGTGAAAATAATAATAAAAAGTAAAATATAGTTACAGTAATATTTCATGTATTAGATATTAATGTGGTAAAAAAAAAGGATTAAATCTAATGTGAATGTTTCTTAGTTAAACTAAGATTCATTAAAATTGCCGATCCCTGATGACTTTTTTTCTAAACCGCTTTGAATAAAGCTATTTATTAAGTAGAAGTGTATCTTTTGGTACAACATTAGATTTTATAAACTACATTAACAATTTTATAGCAAATATCCTTGTACTGAAGTCATAGAATCGACCATAAATATAATCGATTCAATAAGTTACGCAACATCAAATAAAATTTAATATTATACCAACAATAATCTTTAATTCTTTGTTGCACAGGCCACGAAATACTAAAACGCTGGAAGAGCCTCCGAACGTGCTTCTCAAGGGAACTGTCGTTACAGAAGAAAGAGAAACGCAGCCTCGAAATCGATCATGAACCGATTAAAAGACGTAAAAAGTACGAATACTTTGGTTTGATGTCCTTTTTACTTCACCCCGACGCAATAGGTGAATTCGAAATAACGAAAGAGACAGACGAAGAGTCCTCTGATCCTCTGGATTGTATGAAAACTGAGATTTACGATGAGGGACAAACATCTAAAGTAGAAATAGTTAATGAAAGCGTCAACAATCAGTTTCAACCGTTCTACGAGCGAAATGAAAACGTTGACGAGAAGATTCTGGAAATATTAAAAGAAATGAAGAAAGATGAATGCGACGAGGACAGACAGTTTATGTTGTCATTAGTTCCAAGCTTTCGGAAATTAAATGATAAGCAGAAGTTTGAAGCTAGAATAGGAATGTTAAAGGTCCTACAAGAGATAACGTTTCAGGAGAAAGAGACTCTATGATAGTTATGTGAAAACGACAAAGGCATAACTTCATGAGGGGCTAAAAGGAAGATACGTTTAAAAGTAAGATTTAAACGAAGTTATAGTTTCCGGGTTATCATCGTGTCCAGAATGCTGTAATAGCGCGGCCTCATTAACCAACTAAGTTTCTCGCCGGATCTTCTCAGTGGTTCGCGTTTCCGATCTGGTGATAGATTCTGGGTAGTACGGCTCTTGCAAGGGTTCGTGTTAGCAACATCGTCAGGTTTGAGACCCGTGAGCTCACCTACTAGCCCGGTGACGCTGTCATGGTCTCTAGACCATCAGCTTAGGTAAAAAAAAAAAGTGCTGCGTAAGCATATTAAGGACTATGTTTCGTACTAATTCCTCTTGTGAAACATCAAGATACTCGTCGATATAAGTATGCCCACTAGTCTATGTATATCTAGAATTATTTTAGATTTGTTATTAAAAACAGTGAAACATAAAAGCTTTGGAAATATGTTGATAATATTTACAACCCAATTGAATTCGACATTATATTTGGCTGTTATTGGCGGAGAGAAAGTTTAATACACATTGGACGATATGATAGATTGCAAGTCAAACTGTAATTTCATCCAAACAAATTGGCAATGTCGAGTTGCCGTTGTCATCAGAAAAGGAATAATACAAAGACATAATAAATGTAATTAAAATAAATGTTTGTTTCATTACTTTGGGGTTTTCTGTTGCCACATTTTACGTGCGTTATATTAGGTACAAATGCTGCTAAATCGATTTTTAACCACAGAGAACTCAGCGAATTTATCAAGAATGATTTGCGAAATTTACGAACGTGTGATGAAACAGCAATAGTGAGTTGTTACGAGAAAAGAAAAACAAACGCCAAATGCCACCGTCCTCCCACATGATCATAACGATGCTAATCAACACTTAAATATGAGCATCCGTGATCATGACTTGTTATAAACGACTCTCTGAATTTAAATTAAGTAATAAGAACTTGCAAATGTCTACAATCAATGAAAAATATATGGTACCGATAAATTTCTAAAGAAATTAATAATAGAAATTAAACTAAAAATAGAACAACATGGACCGTTAGTTAAATTTATTAATGTTTCCGATTATACGAAATGAAATGTGCGAACGAAAAACAATACCACACATTTTTTTTATTAAATGTCCCGCCGCGGTAAATTACTTGGAATGTGCAAATATTTTATTGACAAAACCATTTGTCGAAGGGTTTTATAAATTGTGTTTATTTTTATTTCATTTGATGGTCGGATCGGCTCCCACTTCATCTGATGTTTAGCGTTTGTCGGATGTCATAGATAACGTGATGTGTCTATATAATTACAGAATCAGGATGGTGGTACCTCTTGATGACCCACATCACAATACTATCAGTGTTCTAGCTCAAGTTTCTAGTTGCATTTTTTACCACACATATACTATGTATAGTACACTATGCAGTATACTACAAGTAATAGTATACCTGTATAATATACCTATAATTAATACATTGAAAATTTAATTAGGTATACTGGGTAAGAACGAATGTTGAAAGGCGATGCTTGATTACTGTGCGAGATAAATATGAATAAAAGTGGCCTGCCTATATTTAATTATCTTTTGAGAAAAAAAAAGCATTATTATAAATAAATTTAAATTTCCTATTCCAATGTTGGTCAAAGATAGCCACAAATTAGCAATTCTTAATTTGAAGTTTAATTGAAAAATCCCTACGGAATAACAATTTTCAAACACTTTTCAAAAGATCGAAGTTCTATTAAAATTTCATCTGCACCTACTTCGATTAAATCGTTAGGGATCAATAACTTTGGGAGTGAAACGATAAATTTTAATTACTTTATTGAGTTATCAATCAAACTTTTACGTAAGTTGCAAGCGAAATACATAACTAATTAATGTTTTTTATTTATTTCTTAATTTTTTTATTGCTTAGATGGGTGGACGAGCTCACAGCCCACCTGGTGTTAAGTGGTTACTGGAGACCATAGACATCTAGTACGTCAACGCGCCACCCACCCTGAGATTCTAAGATCTTAGTATAGTTACAACGGCTGTCCCACTCTTCAAACCGAAACGCATTACTGTTTCACGGTAGAAATAGGCGGGGCGGTGGTACCTACCCGCGCGGACTCACGAGAGGTGGTAGGACCACCAGTAAAAAGTACCTTAACTTGTTCTTTTTTTTTTTTATGCGCGTTCCCCTGACTATTCATTGTCAGGGACATTTTTTAGGCTTATTTGCTTTTTGCCAATTTTATTTTTCACTATTTCTAATGATAGGTTCGTATTCCGTTCTTTTATAATTTTCGTTTCTCTGCTTATTATTTTACATTTTATTTCTTTGCCTGCATTTACTTTCTTCCGATACATTTTCATTTTCACTCCTCATTCTCATTAAATTGTCTAAATCTGTTACATTCCTCATTGTACATTTAACATAATTATTTTTACATTTTCTTTTTATTTTTATTATTTAAACACTACATTTTTAGCTTTAGGCAGCGGCTTGGCTCTGCCCCTGGCATTGCTGAAGTCCATGGGCGACGGTAACCACTCACCATTAGGTGGGCCGTATGCTCGTCTGCCTACAAGGGCAATAAAAAGAAAATAAAAAAAAATACCATTTTAAAAATTACATTATCTTAACTTGATTCTATGATGTCTTGTGTTGTACCCGTCGGGCTGGTACCACCGATCTATCTATTCCTGTCAGTCAATCGTAGCAGTTCGAAGGGAAATACAGTTGTTATGAAATCTTTGACCTCATGTTGTAACGTGTGCCCTAAACTTTTCCAACCAGTTGCAACAAAAACAATACGTATTATGTGATTTAAATAAATAACATGTGACTAATTCAGTCTTAACACGTTGAATGTCATATCAAAAATCGAGTATCTTCATTCAGGCCACGGTACCCATCGGTGAGCCTTACTGAACCGTTCGGGTCACGAGGGTCACCGGGTCGGGTGTTAGTTCCTATATCAAAGAATTTAAATTGAGAGTCGGGAACGGTGCGTCTAGGCAGGCTCATATTTTGCATAAAAAACTTAGACTAGACATTAGGAGTATTTCATTAAAAAATCTTTTTCTTTTGTAGTTAAAAACGATTTCTACTTCTTTAGGCAAAACTTCAACTTGACAGCCATACGCTACAAATAATTTTATTATCTGCGATTATCTATTACGGGTCCCGACTTTTTGGCGGGAACGGGAGGAGTGAAATTGTGTGATTTGTTTTATTTTGTCCATTTAGTGTTTCTTCAGGTTTAAATGTGTAATAACGGTGGTTTATTAACTGTTTAATATCTGTGAAAGTGCACAAGTGTGGGAAAATGAAACAAAGCCGCTGGACGTAACTTCTCGGGATCCTCCAAAAAGTCCACTGAAAAAATCTCAGTAAATGGCCACCATTTTACTGAGATTATATTTCATCCCATATCATCTCATCTCATCTCATTTTATTTCATTTCTTCCGAGTTGTTCTCAAATTAATCATCTTCAATTCATTTCACTCCATATTATTATTTTTCATAAAAATAAGAATATAAATTAAAATAAGTTATGACTTAAAGGTCTTAGTTACCAGGTCATAAAATCCCTTAAAAAAATATACTTATCCGGAATGTGGAATACCAAAATCAGTTAGCATTACCGGAAATCCTGGCATTGTGAGTCATTCGTTATTTAAGCAATTACATTATTATCACATGACTATTCACTATCACGATAAGAACAGTAGGCACTCAAGATTTGGGAGTATGCATTGTTTTAAACTGTTGCCGTTATTTTCAATACCAATATTACTATTGAACGGTTTCTAGGAATGTTTTTTTTCAATTATAGTGAGTTCTCATGGTCATGAGTTCGAAGGAGATTTTACAAACGTGACATGTTCGTGTATGGCTCCCACGAAACGGCTGAGTCGAGGTTAGGCACGTGTCATTGTGGTTTCTGTTATTTTATGCCTTGCACGTTACCAGAGATACTTTTTTTCCGACCTAAGCGTTGGCAGCCTAAGGGGTTATTCTAACTATGTACGGATTAGTAGGATAGCTCACAGGCCTCAATCTACGCCTAAGTGCCGCCACTGCTGTGGCTGCGACGAGGACACGGCGGAGTGTAACGCCGCGTCCTCGTCACGAAGATTGTACCGACCGTCGTGGCTATGATGCTAAGCAGCGACGACTCCTAGCAGTCGATGCGCGACTTCTGCAAGCCCACTTCCCTCTCTTCTTCCCTTTTAGCGCCGTACCTCCGCTGCAAAATTAGAGGTCGGAAGAGGGTGTTCGTCGAGCTCCGACCTCTGCGAGGAGGCAATCTCCTCGCGTAGATTGGATGGACGCTTGGGCAATAATGTACGGAAATCGTTTAGTCCCTTGGGCCCACGTTCCCATCATAACATCTGCAGACCACCCAGTCCCTACATACCACGCGCGCCCTTAGACGCTGGGACCTCGTAGACTTGCTAACACCAGCTACAGTAAGAGCAGTGCTTTACTGGATCTACTACCTAATCGGAATCGCGTGCCAAGATCAGGCGAGAGTATCAGTGGATTTTTCATCCCATATAGGTAGGTCAAGCATTCTTTGACTCCACTAGACAATCTACCTTCAATTTTAATAAAATTTCAATGATAAGCCAATTTAGATTCAAACCTGAACCTTTTATCAATGACATATATAAATGTATATATTAAATAGATTAGATATCGAGGTATCTGTGTTCTCGACAAACAGCCCATCCACTTTATATCGATTATTTAGAACTGATAACGTCGATAGAAGTTTTATACTTCAATGTGTCCATTAGATTCTCCTGGGAGAGTAATGAAATTTGAATAATTTTTTTTATTGTTTAGTTGGGTGGACGAGCTCAAAGCCCGTCTGATGTTAGGTGGTTACTGGAGCACATAGACATCTACAACGTAAATGCGCAACCCACCTTGAGACATAAGTTCTAAAGGCTCAGTATAGTTACAACGGCTGCCCCACCCTTCGAACCGAAACGCATTTCTGCTTCACGACAGAAATAAGCAGGGCGGTGCTACCTACCCGTGCGGACTCACAACACGTCCTACCACCAAAAATGTTTAGTAATGATAGATATATTAGATTAAGACAGAGATTCTGTAAGTTATGGTACATGTACCTTAATTAAATTCTGATAAGATTCTTCACGTCTGTGAGTTTCTAATACACCGAGAAAAGTGTTATAATAAAAAAAATTACCACATAAAAACACCACGACAATATATAGCATACCATTAGAAACTAATTTAATGAATTATCATTACCTTTTTTCCATCGCGAAATTTAACGGTGCCCTCTATGATAGAAGTGGCGGGACTGGTCTCCGCCATCTTTGGATCCGAATGTCACGTGATGCGACCGCAGCGCCACCGTGGCAACATTATGAACTAGTACATCATCTTATCACAACACACACTTTTGCTTCCACTGAACGTTTTTCACTTTATCTGAAACAAGAGAAATATTATTTTAGTATTATAACATTCTAATTACGAATTATTTTAATTTTAATAAAGTTTAGTTAAAATAAAGTATTAAAAATTGTTGTAAAGTTTTTGTTTGGCTAAAAGGGCAAAGTTCAGATATTTGGGTCCACAACGTGGATGACGCCACTGAACAAGGGATTCTTACAGTTATTAATCTGTTAAACCCGAATCTAGTAATAGTTTCATGGCAGATGAGCGCGATAATTTGACCCGTGCGGATTTAGAACAAACAGGCTTTAAGACCCCAAAAAGCAGATTAGGAAAACATTTGGAATTGCAATCTGACTGGTTCTGTCCACACAATTTAAATATTTAAATCGCCATCATTTAATCCAATTATTCTTCGCTTAACACGTTTATTCAATCGAATAGCGATTATCACGTAAAAGCGGTTGACCTTCGCTATCCACGTAGATCGGTCACGGATTTTTTGGCATCTTACCAAATTTTTTTGTCACAAAAACTGGCATTATTCGTTTAACGCGGAAATTTTTGGCGCTTTGTTTTTGTGTTGTGATTTATGTCTCTATTATTCGTGAATTGCGTGCTAGCCGCGAGCTCTTACTTCCTCGTCAAGCCTCTGTGATCGAAGTGGTAGATAGAGAAACGATGCGTAACTTTTAGACAAGTGTATTTTATTTTTGTTGGCACATTAAACTTTATCTAGAGACACTGACTACTTGGCCAGAAGGTTGAATAGGTTAGAGACACGGTGGACTAAGCACACATAGTGAAGAATGGAAGTATGAACTTTATTGTTCAATAAGGGCCTTTAATTGGAGCTCCAAAAAGTTCTCGGAACAAACATCATTATTAAAATCAAAACAACGAAATCTTGTTTGTATTGGAACAAACAAATTGAACTTGGGATAAGTTTAAAATGAAAAAAGTTTAAGGTTATCGATATAAAGCTCAAGAAGATAACAAGCGGTGAACTTTTGAAATCTACTTAATATTTGAAGCTTTTTTTTTGTAATACCCGGAATTCGAACAAAATGCGGAGGATAGAAGCGGTTTCGGAAAAGATATTAAATCGCGATCAATATCAATAATGTGTCAAGTAGTCTTAAGGTCAAATATTCTTATTGATAAATTATTTTATGCATGTGTGCAGTTCCTGTTAAAATAGTTTGGAGTTATGACTTGTAGCTTATAATTTTTATTAGTCACTGAAGAAAATAAACCCTAATATAAATTGATATCTTCATATTGTTTTCCTTTATGCGATATGTTGCGAAAGGGTTATTTATGTAGAGTATTGATAATATCTGATAAACCTATATCAGATTTTTCTAAGCTAGATAATAATATGTTTACAGAAAATAAGAATTGATTAAATTTCCAAACAAAACTTTTAATTTTTTTTATTAAAGAAAAATTCAATTTCCGTAGTCCCCGGGGACAAGTCATGTTGTGGCGTTGTCATTATTTAAACGATTGTAACTTTGACGTCTCAAGATGTAACAACATCATCATAGTCAGTTATTTTTGGCAAAACAGTCGTGGTCATGTGGAATTCTTGTTTATTGACAGACAGATTGACAGATGTTTTCCATAGTTTGCGAACTGAGGCTTGGCGCACGCACTCGTCAAGTGGGGTTTTGGTAAGGTCTTTCACCTTATCAGTCCAGCGCATGGGGCTTCGTCCACGAGAAGATGTAACAAAGTATGGTACGAAACCTGCTCTGATATGTCGCACTGAATGTGATTGTTCTTCCCCAGTTTAATCAAACGATCGGACCATTTTAATTCTTAATCCTCTCAGAGCTCGCAATATGCATTGCGGATTTAGTGCCGTAATCCATGACCATATGCGAAAGATTATTTGGGGTACGAATCGGGCTTTTGTCAATACTACCATACTGTGACGTCGGCTCTAGGACTATGCCTAAACTAAACATGATGATCACGACTTCAAAAGTCTAATTCAATGATTCGTACATTTAACATTAAAACTATTTTGACTGTTAATCTAGTTTCTACTGTATGCTTTTCATTATTCTCAATGTTTTGAATGCTTCCGTTTTTGAGGTCACGGACGACTAATGATTCTTAGATATCAATGATTAACAGTTCAACAATTTCATTCATTAATAATAAAATCTTTTGTTTGTTTGTTTTAGCTGGTGTAATTTATTTTCGTAATTTCTACCGTGCTTTTCGAAAAAATAAGCAGGTTAGGCAAGAATAATTGCGTAGTGTTTTTTAATCTTCATAATGTTATTGCTCCCTCGAAAAAGCTGTTCGTAAGCACACGTGAAGACGATTGATGGATTTACGCTATTTGTGACTTTTGACGCCTACATGGTAAATTGCCTGATGATTGTTTGTTTACTTGTCACTGCTTTCTCGTTAGAATTTTAGGTCTCAGTGTCAATAAAAGTTTGTCAAATTAGAACCCAATAATAGGTTACGACTTGACGTAAAGTAAGCTAATTTTTTTTATTGCCCTTGTAGGCAGACGAGCATACGGCCCACTTGATGGTGAGTGGTTACCGTCGCCCATGGACTTCAGCAATGCCAGGGGCAGAGCCAAGCCGCTGCCTAAAAGCTGAAAATAAAATCTTGGGAGCTTAATTTCGAATTTGTATCTCCCTCGGTCAAGGCCTTGGTCTGTCTATGGTCAAGAAAAATAATAGACTTAATTTAAACTACTTTTACAGGTTTGCATCGTGTTGATTATTATTGTACTATTATTTCCCTCATTTCGAAGACTTCACAATTTTATTGGTCATGGACTACTGAGGGATTATTTGTTGACATTTTAATATTCTGCTAACTACTTTCTAATCTATACTAATATATAAATCTACAGTGGTTTTTACGGATGTTCCGTTATAACTACTGAACCATGCATCCGATTGACTTGAAACTTGGTAGGTATCCATGTAAAAAATAGATGTAAGTATTTAATGGATAGGCTAATATTTATATGAGTGTGTTGGACTCCCTAATTATAATGGGGCGAGTACGGCTAGTATTGTATAAAAATAATTTCTTTTTACATTTACTAAAGAGGACAAAAGTGTTAAAAAAATACATTTTATAATACGAGGAGTGAAATGGAAGGCTATTTGGTTTAAGTAACATTTTTGCAATTTTACATGAGAGCAATTGAAAGTTTACAATTTGGAAAAAAATGTCTAGCAAAAAAACTACTTCAGCTATTCGAATGGAGTAAACTCAATTGGAGTTCAATTAAAAACATGGATCTCTTGATGCTAATCTTTATCTATACTAATATTATAAAAAGGAAAGATTTGTTTGTTTGTTTGTATTGAATAGGCTCCGAAACTACTGAACCGATTTGAAAAATTCTTTCACTGTTTGGACGCTACACTATTCCCGAGTAACATAGGCTATAATCATTTTTGAAAAAAAATAGGAATCCTCACTAAAATTCCAATAATGTTACCCAAGGTGTAAAAAATTACCTAAAATATTCTTTACATCGCGTGCCCTGCGAAAACTATTGATGATAGAATAAAATAATGTACTAAGACTTTGTAAAACACATTATTATTTACAAAAAGTGTCACGACAGCATATGTTCAACTATTATAGTTATGACGCAATAAGTGTTCCTTTATTAAAAAAAAAAAAACGTCTAATATCGTTCAAATTTTTTTAAAGACCCGAGCGGAGCCGGAGCACTCCGCTAGTATATTATATATTTCTTCTGTGCGTGTGTTTGTCACTGAATTCCTCCAAAACGGCTGGACCGATTTAAATGTTTTTTTTTGTAGCATTTGGGTGGCACCCGGCTCAGATTCACAAAACAGCCCGACAGATGGCGCTGCAGTCGGTACCTATGTTATTTATCTCTACTACAACTAAACGCCTGCATCGACTTGGATCAATTTTTGCAGGACAACGTCTGTGTGGTCCGTAAGTACAAAATAAAATGCACTTTCAATTGCCAAGATAAATGTCGCTTATTAAGTGAAATATCACTCGTCGAATAGATTTACCAAACGGGAAACCGAAGAAAATATTAAAAATTATGAGTCATCCATAATCATGTTTAAGTAACACGGACACATATTGTCTACACAGATATTAGTCCCACGTGTACAATAAAAACGTATTACAAGGGAGTTTCGGGGTTTCCCCGATTAATACCGCTTCCAAAGCCAAACGTATAGATTGAAAACGAGCTTTATATATACAGGATGTTTGTTATAATTTCACAAAACTTTCTAAAACTTTTCAGGAATAATATTGTTTAAAACTACGTCTAAAAAGCTTTCGTGCACGAAGTAACAATTTAACTTAATTTTTAACGCAAATTTTACAATATTTTAATTTATTTGATGATATCCGTTAAATATTATTGTACATATTAATTTGTTAAAAATGCTCATAGAATAAAAGTCATTTGTATTCATAAAATGTACTACTAAAGTTGATTTGTGGAAAACAAAAGCAGTGTGCTCAGAGCCTAAAAAAATATTTCAAAAATACAACGTTATTGTGAAGCTATTAGTCCGGTCTATTTACACATTCAAGTTTACATAAATTCCCATAAAGCTGAATATTGGCATAGTTGTTCAAAACATCATTATAAAGAAAATCTCAAAAGTCCTCATCGTTCCGAGGTGTGCTAAAAATTTGGCACGGGGTCAAAGGTCAAAAAAATGAGTTTTTTGCGATTTTTAGCGAAACGGTGAGTTTTTTCGCAAAATTACCCCNTAAGCAAACACCGTAACTGGTTAATCCTTTATTTTAACACCACACAAATACATAAGTAAACGGATGCAATGGAACGTAACGTTAATACATTTTTACGTGTTCCCGGAAACGCGGTACAAAAGAGAAGGAGCTTATCCTGACAGAGTGATCGTTTTTTGACAGTTGACGTTAAGCTCCATTCGGTGCGTTCATTATAACAGTTTCTTCCCCCTTCCGGAAAAGAAATAATGCACAGGGCCTAGGTACCTACTAAGTTAGTTAGTAGTACCAACTTAAGACATACAGAATAATCAACAGACTTATAACATGGTAACTTACAAATTAAACAGATGATTTAGATTTACGCTAATACTATAAGTTTATTCCATAACTATCTCTATATAATAATATTCTAAAATAAAAGCAACTAATTACAAATTAAGACGTACAACAGGTTTTAATGTTCTTTTACTTCTACGTAACATGGGTTCTGTAGGAACATTGCGCACAGTACTATTTCTAGGAACTAAATTTTCAGGTTGCAAGATTCTCTCATTTTCCGAATCATTTGGCATTACATTAGTTGCTGGCTCAGTCACAGTATCGAGGCTAGAACCGGAGTCAGAATTATTTGGTATTACATTAGTTGTTGGCTTAGTTACAGTATTGAGGCTAGAATCTGAGTCGGAGCTTTTAAGCCCCGTACTAACCGAATCACCAGTTATAGTTGCCGAACTTGAATCAGCACTTTGAACCTCAGTGTTACCAAAACCATCGTCAAAACCATCAACTGAACTTTCACTGGCTGGAATGCTATCGCCCACTTTTCGCAATTGGTCAATGTGGCGACGCCACCAGTTGCCATTGTCTAGCTTAATCAGGTAATGCAAGGTACCAAGAATTTTATGTACTACTCCTAATTTCCACTTTCCTTCCTCTGTATAATTTCGTGCAACCACTCTTGCACCAGGGGCCAACTTTCGTACACGTACTACCTTTACTTCCTTCTGCGACAGTACAGTAGGCTTGCTTGGACAACACAAAGATAATCGCGAAGTCGGTCTGTAAGTGAACACCAACTCAGCAGGAGATTTACCAGTAGTAGGGTGTGGAGTAATACGGTATTGAAATAAGATTTCATTTAGCTTAAATTGTATAGAAGTTTTTTCTGAATTAAGACATCGCAGTTTTTGCTTCAAGGTTTGCACATAACGTTCCACTTGACCATTTGTGGCTGGTTTGTATGGGGCAGATCTCCTGTGATTTATGCCATGCATTTTTATATAATTAAAAAATTTCGGGTTTACAAATTGGGAACCATTATCACTTGTTAGCACTTGTGGATAGCCAAAGGTGGTAAAGACTTTATCTAGGACTTCAATTGTACTATCAGTATCTATTCTGTTTAAGATGTGAACTTCTGGCCACTTTGAAAATGCATCAATAATAAAAAGAAAATAACAATTCTGAAATTTGCCAGCAAAATCTATGTGAACTCTTTCAAAAGGTTTTAAAGGACTTTCCCATGTGTGTTTTGTAGTGACTTCCATTGGAGAGTTCAGATTTAGAGAACACTGACGGCAGTTTTTTGTAACTTCTTTAATTTCGTTGTCCATACCTGGCCACCAACAGTAACTGCGAGCCAAGGAGAGCATTCTATTTGTTCCAAAGTGGCAAGAGTGCAAATCACTGAGGATAGTATGTCTTAGACTAGTGGGCACCACCACCCTTGTGCCTCTCATGAGGCAACCTTCAAGCAAAGAAAATTCAGTTTGGTCAATACCAAAACGTTCATTATGAGAAACCCTCCTACCATTCTGAACACCTAAAAATAATGGCTTTAAACTATTATCTTCTTTAGTTGCATCAGCTATGTCTTTAACAGTAACAGGCAATTTAGTAAGCATGCCTATCTGGAGAACATCAAAGTCCTCAATTAAAATTGATTGTTCAGCAACAGGTAGCCGTGAAAACGCATCAGCGTTAGCATTATCCTTAGTATTCTTATACTTGATATCATACTGAAAACCTTGAAGAAAAACCGCATAGTGCTGCATTCGTGCAGCAGAAAGGTGTGGCAAAGCTTTAGATGGAGAAAAAATTTGCACCAGTGGTTTATGGTCCGTGTATAGTATAAATTTCCTACCATATAAATATTGAAAGAAACGTTTAACCCCATAAACTATAGCATAAGCTTCTTTATCAATCTGTGCCCATTTACGCTGAGAGCAGTTTAGTGTTTGTGAAGCAAAATGTATTGGACGCTCAGTTCCATCTGGCATGACATGAGATAGAACAGCCCCAACCCCGGTAGAAGATGCATCAGTTGCTAAAACGAGTGGTAGATCAGGTGAGTAATGTGCTAACACAGTGTCAGAAAGCATTTGTTTTTTTATAGTTTGTAATGCTTCCTCACAATCTTTAGACCAACACCATGGTGTGTCTTTTCGTAACAGTTTGTGCAGAGGTTCTAAAGTATTGCTAAGATTTGGCAAAAATCTGCCATAGTAGTTTACAAGGCCAAGTAATGCCTGTAGTTCAGATAAATTTGTTGGGTTTAAAGCATCTACAACTGCCTTAACTTTACTTTTTACTTTATGTATACCAGCACGACTTATTTTATACCCACAGTACTCAATTTCATTCTTCATAAATTCTGACTTTTCTAGATTAACTTTCAAGCCATACTCTTTAAGTCTAGCAAAAACCTTATTTAGTCTGCTAAGGTGTTCAGAATCGTTTGGAGCAGTTATTCGTATATCATCGATGAAACAATGAACCCCAGGTATACCTTTTAATATGCTTTCAATTTTTCTTTGCCATTTGGCTGGTGCACAGTTTAACCCATACATTAAGCGTGTACATTTATAAAGGCCCCTATGTGTATTAAGAGTTAGCAAGTGTTGGTCTTCATCCCTAACTTTCCAATTTAGATACGCATTCCTTAAATCTATCTTGGAATATTTATCACCCCCAGCCAAACCATTAAACAATTCTTCTGAAGTTGGTAATGGATGTTCATCTACTAGTAAATCCCTATTTAATGTGAGTTTATAGTCCCCACAAATTCTAATTTTTCCATTTGGTTTTATTACAGGTACAATTGGAGTAGCATACTCACTATAATCAATTTTAATAAAAACTCCATTCTGTACTAATGTCTCAATCTCTTGCTCAACTTTATCCTTTAATGCAAATGGTATTGGCCTAGCACGAAAAAATTTTGGCTTTGCATCCGACTTGAGATGAAGAGCAACTGGTTCTCCTTTAATCTCCCCAACACTTGTGTTGTCAAACAAGACACCATACTCTTTGAAAAGTTTTTGCAGAGGAGCAATATGAGCGTTATTACCTGAGGACACTTGGTTAACCTGTGTCAAACAATCCCTGAAGCCTTTGAATACATTAAAAAGTTGTATCCAGTCCCGGCCCAAGAGTGGATGCTGATTTCCCGAAATGATGTATAAATTAACATTTAATAATTCTCTCCCAATGACAGCTGTGACACTTGCAACACCTAAAACATTAAGAAATTCATTAGAATAGGTACACAACTTAACTACGGTTGGTGTTAGTTTACTTTTGCTAATTCTTCTATAATCATTTTCATTCATGATAGACACCGCAGAGCCGCTATCAAATTCCATCTGCACTATTGAGTTATTTATTTTAGTTTTGATCCAAAATTTGTTATTGCTTAGAGAATTGGATCTACAATTATTTATATACACCACCTCCTCAGATTCCGTTCCTTGGTCGAGACTAAAGTCAACTGGTTTCACATTTTGCACTGCATTCACATTTTTCAATCGTAAGCACATTTTCCTGATGTGTCCTATTTTTTTACAGAAATGACACTTAGAATTAATCATTGGGCATTTGTTAGCATAATGGTCACTCCCACAACGAAAACAGACAATTTGGTTAGTGTTTGAAGCCGGGCGGCCAGTGGAGTTTACTCTCTTTTTCAAAGTATTGATTTGCTGAACTTCCTGAGTATATGTTCTTTCTGTGTATACAGTTTCCATGCCAGCTGCTATTTCAATAGCTTTCTCTAAGGTGAGATCTCGAATTTCTAAGAGTCTGTCCTTAACTCTCTGGGTATTGACTCCGCACACAAACTGGTTTCTTAAGGCAGTGTTCAGAAATTGTCCAAAATTACAGGTAGAAGCCATTTTACGTAGTACAGCAATATAATCTTTTACTGATTCGCCTTCCTTTTGATGTCTGTGGTGAAATTTATAATATTCCGAGATTTCGAGGGGTGTAGGGTCCAGATGATTTTTTAACGTTGCAATGTTTTGATCATGCGTAAGGTCACTTGGTTCAGCGGGTGAGACTAGGTCACATAGCATATCATATAGATCCGCACCGATGTAGTGCAGTAAATATGAATTTTTTACAGTCGTTTGAGTGACACCGTAAATAGAAAAGGCACCTTCTAATCTTTGCAACCATCGGTCAAATTTATTTTTCGTATCGTAGTATTCGATGAAATTTGGCGGTATCTTCATGGTCGCCGTAGCACTCACTTTTAAGCTACCCTCGGTCATTTTGAAATGTAGGTTCGGTTATATTTTCTCGTCGCCAGTGTAGAAGTACAGTAAGCAAACACCGTAACTGGTTAATCCTTTATTTTAACACCACACAAATACATAAGTAAACGGATGCAATGGAACGTAACGTTAATACATTTTTACGTGTTCCCGGAAACGCGGTACAAAAGAGAAGGAGCTTATCCTGACAGAGTGATCGTTTTTTGACAGTTGACGTTAAGCTCCATTCGGTGCGTTCATTATAACACATATTGAACGTATTTATCTAAGATAACGTTAAATGTTTCCTCGCTATCCCACACCACTCGATGTAATAAGAATCCTCCGTCAATTATGTACGTTGAATTAGTGTTATTAATATCAACATTTATAGTCTGAAAACAATCGTAAATAGCCGACTTCTGGGTCTTGCGCATTCCAATGTCATCAAATAATGTTAACGNAGTCCGGTCTATTTACACATTCAAGTTTACATAAATTCCCATAAAGCTGAATATTGGCATAGTTGTTCAAAACATCATTATAAAGAAAATCTCAAAAGTCCTCATCGTTCCGAGGTGTGCTAAAAATTTGGCACGGGGTCAAAGGTCAAAAAAATGAGTTTTTTGCGATTTTTAGCGAAACGGTGAGTTTTTTCGCAAAATTACCCCAGTACAAAATTGTAGATCACAAAATTCTCTACAAAAAATATATCAATAATTTTTTTCCTAAAAGCCACCATTTTGGAGATATAACGTTCCGAAAAGTTGGATCAGTCGTAATCCCTCTATTTTGCACACGTTTCCACGCCACCTATGAGGTAGTGTACAAAGCGCGTTTTTTTTAACGTGGTTTCCCCAGTAGGCCTATTCCACGGGTCTGCTGAGATTTTATATGTTTTAAAACTATTGCAAAATAATATTATATATTATAGTGGGCAAAAACAACGGCGGTGTAATTAAATAAAATACTTAAAATAAAAAGTTAGTCGTCTGATTCATAACTGTCCAAGATTTCTGTTTCTTCTTCTTCTTGATCTTCTTCTCCTTCTTCTTCCTGTTCATCCTCTTGTTCTTCTTCTTCTTCTTGTTCTATTTCACACGTAAACTGCCCCAATAGCGATTCCTGATCGGTATCAAACGAATCTTCAAGAGTTGGTGACTCAACATTCGAGCATGATCGGCCTTGACAGTGTGTGCATGCCAGGGAACAAAACAGTCCAACTTTTCTGCAACCACATTTTGCACTACACCCTTTCTTGCAGTTGCAAAATATTGTGTTGAGAAGTTTCTCAGGTGCTGGTGGAAGTAAAGTTTGAACTGGCTCTAGTGTATTGTCGATCAACTTCCAACCCCAGTCTTTAGGGTCCAGCTGATTACCAAGCCACACTTGAACTTGGTAATATACCCGAAACAGATGTTGATGAGCAGCTACTGAGGTTGGAGGAAGAGAAGCTAAGTTGACTTGTTTTTTATTACGCGTATTTTTCACGAAAGATGTGTATCGCAACTTATCTAAGCAAGTGGTTTTTTTGGGGGCTCCGTACATAGCAAGAAGAAATTGAACTCCGTTGGTGATAACATGTTGTTGAGTTGAATTACTATTTTTAAAAACTTCAGCACATTGTAGTAAATCTTTTTTTTCAAACATTTTGAAAACTGTTGTTTTTCCTCTCCTGTAAAAAGCAGATGTCGTATCGCAGCCAGTTATTGCGTGTAGAAACAATACATGATTTTGACATTTAGGAAAATTGGATAAACTGTTTGATGAATATATTTCCGATTGATTTTGGGCTTTTCCGGGTTTAAAAAAATAAATAATTTTTTCAGTTGGAGTTCGAGCAGTAAGCAAGACGAGTAAATCAACATCCTCACCAACAACAACAGTTGTATTTGTCACACTGAATTTCTTTATCGCTGTTTCAATAATCAATACATCAGCATCATCATTAGCTTGTTCAACGGATATATTCTCAGCAGTAAATTTTGCTTTCAACATCGAAATAAACCTAGATTTATTGTGATTATTTGCAAAGAATTTCTGTTGACTGGTAGGAACTGTCATTGATTCATCGAATATAATATCAGAAGAAGTTGATGAAGCAGCATTTCGACGGCGTTGCTCTGCTGCTTTAATATTTCTCGTATAATCATCATATCCGTCAAATACGACAGTAACTCTGGAACCAAAATGTCGACGTACATATTGAACGTATTTATCTAAGATAACGTTAAATGTTTCCTCGCTATCCCACACCACTCGATGTAATAAGAATCCTCCGTCAATTATGTACGTTGAATTAGTGTTATTAATATCAACATTTATAGTCTGAAAACAATCGTAAATAGCCGACTTCTGGGTCTTGCGCATTCCAATGTCATCAAATAATGTTAACGGATAAGGAGCTAATTCATACTCGAAATATTTCTCAATTTCATCTTGAAAAGCCGCAGTAACACTCATACGTTGGAATAATAACACTGGGTCAACAGGTACTTTTTCTTCGTGAACTTTTACGGTGCTACTCATAGCTAAAAGAGGAACAACTTTGTCAGCGCGTTTAAGTTTAATATCTTTAAATGTCAGTCCAGTTATTTTAGCAATAGAGATAAGCCCAAGTTCACGTGCTTTATAGCAATTAATTGTATTATCACCAACGACACCACTTGCAATCGAGATGACTTTGTTAACCTCTGGGAAAGGATCATGAATCGAGAACCACTCAAGAAGCATTCGTATGTCTTTAGCGTCTTTTTTTACACGTGAATCACTGGCATCAACATGCTGTTCAGTCGTATCCATCCTAACATTAGCAAGATCTTCTAATTTCTCACAAACTGTGTTCATTGCATGCATGCTGTAAACCCATTTACTGATTACACTTTGTTTTGTACTTCTTCCTCGAGCAATACCTCCATCTGTCTTCATGGCTTTCATCATAGACTGTTCGATAACCATGTCTGTAGAAGTTCCACAACTCAATTTATCTGAGCGTCTCACGGTGAAAAATCCTTCGGTAAATTTTTCGTAAACTTCAGGATCCATCGAGTCCTGTAATTGCATCATGTCTTGTAAATACAAGTGTGCAGATTTAGCATATGGAAAATGTCCTGACGAGTGGAAATAAGGTAACATTTCTTTTACACAACTTAAATGAGCTTTCCAGTCCCCCATACGCTCAGCTCTCAAAAATTCTTTTGCAAGTGAAACCATATTAAAATATTGTATCCAAAGTTGCACTGTTGGTCCTCGTTCCTCAAAATCTTTCAATTTCATATTAAATTTATGAAGTAAAGCACCTGATACTTCATTATCATTTTCAATATCTGAATATGAAAGAGTGCTATCTAATATATGGTCAATATTTATGATTAAATCTGCTCCCATGATATCATTAATATCTATTGTTTTTAATATTGTAATTGCTAAAGCCAGCTGGAGTAGTGTATGTGCTCGAACAGCTCTTGCGTAAGCATGACCATTGAGCATTTTTTCTAATGACTTTGGTGCATAGATTTCTGAGAGTACTTCTTTTATCCCGCTACCTTGCATAATATAACCAATTGCTCCGAGATAAGACATGAGTAGATGAAATCCTCCAAGTCTGACAATAATCTTCGATACTTCAGAGCCGTCAGGTGCGGCTGATACAATTTCTCGAGCTTTCGCATACAAGGGTTGGTCGAAAGTCACGATGCATACAGTGTGGCCGTAACGTTTCGCGTTCTCTAATGCACAAAGTAAAGTCGTATAGACAGTATTATAGTTACTAGCTGGTTGATGGATGAATGGTAAAAATGTAATCTGAGATTTTGAATAATTTGTATGGTAATTTGTTAAGCGCTTAATAAAACCGTTCCAACCAGGTAATGATGTATTTTTCCACTTTCCATAAAACCATACTACATCAGAATTTTTATGAAAAGATACTGTTTCAGTTCCATATCCAAAATCTTGGACATATATTTTACTGTAACCAACTACATCACTATTCTGATAGATCTGTATTGGCACATGAGCTTTTGCTTTGAAGTGTTTTGCTGAAAGAACTTCTTTTATTCGTTGCATAGGTTCTTCTAGTAAAACAGAGTGCTTTGGAGTTACAATTTGAATTATACCCATTATGTGGAGTGAATTGTTACCATCTAGCGTATTAACATTTATATCAGCATTATCTGCAACGTATTGAATAAGTGTGCCACTTTCAGGTGGTAGGACATGAGGAAGAGGATGAAAAACTGCTGCTGACTCGTACATCAATGTATCATTATAAGAAGCACACAAACCAAAAGACGACAAAATTTGTATAAGACGCTTAGACCCGAACCTCCGATGAAAAAAAACTGAAAGACCTAACTGTAATTTGGACTTGAACGATCTTGGTCGAATAGCAGTCATGATACTATGACAAATATTGGTGCATATTAGTTTTAAATGATCGAAATTTGATCGTTTATTTTTTAAGATCATTTGCTCCAAAAAAAATGTCAGTGACTGTGGGATGTCATTATTTAAATCTTCAAACATTCGACCTGGTGGAGGGTAGTAGGAATTATCAAATACCGAGGATTGAATATCTTCTCGAATAATAGATGCTGCTGCTTCTAGAGTTTTTAATCGTTCTTCTTGTTTATTAATTTTTTTATTTTCGGACCAAGATTGATTTAAAATTTCATGGTGACTGTTTATCAAACATACAAATGTTAACGCTCCCGGTTTTTCAGTGATAATAATTTTATCGCCATATTTCAGTTTAAGTCGCAGCTTAATAGTCCTGTTATCTAAAGTTAAAATTTTGCTAACATCTTTTAACTCAGCCAAAGTAAACTGACAGTCATTGCTACTCTCAATGTATGTAAATATTTCCTGCATTGCCAGATCTGTTGCTTCATCTTTAGGACGACCAACTGTACCGCCAGTAGTCGGTTTCAAAAAAGAAGTATAACATTCTTGGTGATACTTTGCTTCAGCAGCAACTAAATCATAGTCAAATTCGATTCGAGCAACAACAGCTTTCGATATAGCATCGGAACGAGTTCGTGCTACTTCCAAAATTGAATGTTTGAATTGGAGTGTACTTACTTGACAAATTTTACTGCGACGATCTAAGGATTTTTTTCTCTGCAACTCTTCATTCAATTTATTGCCACAAAATAAACATAGTTTTTTAAAACAAAAAGCTGAATCACTTGAACGGGATCTAGTACGAGGAGGACTACTTACTGTAGATCCTGTAGATGTGTTAGCTTCTTGTTCTTCGCGTTTTCTTTTGATGGCAGCAGCAATAGAACACTTCCGCGTATAAATTTTACGACAGTTGCTATGTATTGTCACAGATTTTTGTTTTTTAAGAAATTCCGAGTATCCATCATCTCTTTCAGCACTTGCATTAATCAATGTCTTCATACCACGATCAACAGTTACAGTTTCACTTTCAGTTAAAAGATGAGTACAAATAAAACAATATTCTGACATTTTTCTTATAAAAATCTAAAACGCACAAAATAGGTTAAAGATAGGTTAAGATAAGCACATGTTTTCCCTACGCAGTGGCGCTCAAGACTAACGGTATGTATTTCATATATTGGGCATGCCAACATAAAGCAGGTATACGACCCTAGCCACGCGGACAATAGAATAAAAGACAGATGTTATCCCAAGGTTATACTGACGTACAAATTTAGGAACGGGGTTTCATTATACCTGAGATTCTCGTAGTTTAACTTATATTTTACATAAGCAAGTTACAATAAATAATAGCGAACTTATTTTAGTTCTATTACACCTTTAGTGACTTTCATATGTGGCGTACGTGTGCAAAATAGAGGGATTACGACTGATCCAACTTTTCGGAACGTTATATCTCCAAAATGGTGGCTTTTAGGAAAAAAATTATTAATATATTTTTTGTAGAGAATTTCGTGATCTACAATTTTGTACTGGGGTAATTTTGCGAAAAAACTCACCGTTTCGCTAAAAATCGCAAAAAACTCATTTTTTTGACCTTTGACCCCGTGCCAAATTTTTAGCACACCTCGGAACGATGAGGACTTTTGAGATTTTCTTTATAATGATGTTTTGAACAACTATGCCAATATTCAGCTTTATGGGAATTTATGTAACCTTCCTCCTGATTTTAGGCTTAAATAGACCGGACTANCGAAAAAACTCACCGTTTCGCTAAAAATCGCAAAAAACTCATTTTTTTGACCTTTGACCCCGTGCCAAATTTTTAGCACACCTCGGAACGATGAGGACTTTTGAGATTTTCTTTATAATGATGTTTTGAACAACTATGCCAATATTCAGCTTTATGGGAATTTATGTAACCTTCCTCCTGATTTTAGGCTTAAATAGACCGGACTATATGTAAGCATTTCTAGTAATTATTACTGCTTCCGAGAAAGTCAAGGAATGTAATTAACATTGCAACAAGCCAGTCATTACGGAACAAAGTAATTGAATTAAATTACTAAACATAAAGTAATAGTAGAGGATTCGGATAATGATTTTATTATTATAATACTTTGTTACTTGGATTAGTGAACGAGCTTTTTTTTTTATTGCCCTTG